AAATAGAAAGGAAACAAGAAAACGAAACATTCCAAACCGGGGACCTACCCCAAACTGAAATTTGTAACAGCTCAATTCCTATTAGTGTATTCCAATCCTCAATCAAACTAAGCAGAAAAAGATTGAAAATAAGATAGCCGAAGGAAGAATCCGAGACAAAGATGCCGAAGAAGATGGGCGTCAACAGCAAAGCCGAGGAGGCACGTGCGCGCAGGAGCGCCGTGGAATCCGAGCGCAAAGAGCGGGAAGTCCGTGAGAGGGAAGAGCAGTATTGGCAAGAAGCTGAAGGCCCCAAGTCCAGGGCCGCTAAGAAGCGGGAAGAAGAATCTGAGAAGCGTGCCGAAGCCGCGGCTCGCCGCGCTGAGGCCCGCCGACTGGCTGAGTTGGAGGAGAAAGAGATCGATAAGTCGATTAAAAAGCCGGACAAGAAGGCTAATCGAGTGTCGCCTCCGGTGCCGAAGGTAACGGAAGCCGAGCTTCGTAGGCGGAGGGAAGAGGAGCAAGCGCAGCTTGCAAAAAAAGCGGAGGATGCTAAGAAGAAGCAGAGCAGGACTGCGGCTGAGGAGGAGTATGAGAGGATGGTCTCGGTGACAAATACTAACCGGGATGATTCTATTATTGAGGCGAGGAGCGTGGAGGAGGCAATTGCTCAGATGACAGTGGCTGACAATCTGCCCGTGGATCGGCATCCTGAGAGGCGTCTCAAGGCCTCTTTTAAGGTGGGTAATTGGTTACATTTATTTTTTCTGTTCTGTGATGACCCTATGCATTTCTATGGCTTTCCACTGAATTCTTGTTCCTGAATGGGAAACATTGAATTGTATTGTGTTACACAAGTGTTGATATTGTCGATGAGGAATTTTTTAGTTTAACAGATAGGAAATTGGTAATGCAAGTTAGTGCAGTTTCTGGTGAGGAATGGGTTGTCTAGTGTAATGATCAATAATAGTAATGTTTGTGAAATCTGTTCCTGCTAGAGATGTTTGCTTGATACGGGAACCTATTTCCATATGATAGTATAAAAATTTGTGAAAAATAGCTCTTTTCATAATCTTAGCAAATGTAAACTTCATTACCATTGTTATCTTTTTATTTCATTTTTTTTTCTTAAGGAAATTTTCGGGATGTTTACATGGGTTGTGGCTTGATGATAGCCACGCTGCTTTATCATGATTTGGCGTTTGATATATTACTGAATTGGTTACCTGGAAATTTGTTTTCTTGGTATTTTGATATACCCTTATTGTGTTAGTCATGTATTAGATAGTTATGAATGGATGTAGGCATTTGAAGAAGCTGAGCTACCCAGGCTAAAGGAAGAGAAACCTGGTCTTACTCACACTCAATACAAGGACATGATATGGAAACTATGGAAGAAATCTCCAGACAATCCTCTAAATCAGGTTGGTTTATTGACTTGAGTGCTTAGCTGGCCTCTAAACCATTGCACTTTAGGAATTATGCTTTGAAATTTTAGCTTGGCCTTGAACCATGTCTTGTGGATTGGGTGTATACATGTTTTCTTCCTCTTTTCTTGTTTTGCCTTCAATGAGAGGCATGTTCTACAAGAGTACAATGAGCTCTCTATTCCTCTTTAACAAGCATGGTATGAGGTCTGTTTTGGTTGACTACAAAGATTCATATTTTGGACTTGAAACTATACTTTTAAGACTGGGTTCTCCACTGACATAGAGGGAGTTGGGTTTATTTTTCAGTTTGTTCTTGCTGTTTCTAGTTTCTTACTTGGTCTTTGTTTTGGCATTGGCAGATTGCTGAGTGATGACTGCTGCAACTTGTTTGGGCCAGAAGAGCAGGCAATTTCATGTAGGCATGCTGCACAGATGCAAGCCCATACCTGTCTACTTAAACTTTCAAAAAAGGGGGGGGGGAAGAAAAAGAGAGGTTGAATTAATAATGCCACATTTATATTTATACCTATTGCAACATGACGATGGATTTCCCTTCTGTCTCATTTCTTTCCTTAGGCAATGAAAAATTACTAATGTACAGTTAGAGAAATGGTATTTCGCTTGGTTTGTACCCATCAGTGATGTTATCTTAGTATTAGTTTTGATTTTTTTTAAGATGCTGTTAGTTTTTACGGAATTGTTTCACATCTTTCCTTGTGGACTAATGAAGATTAATTAATATTGTGAATTCTGGATTTTGACTCATCTCATGTTATGCATTAACATACCTAAATTGATGCTTTTTCTTGGTTCTGGGTAAGTTCAGTGGCTTACAATTTTGATAAAGATACTGCTCTTCTTGCGCGCAAGAGACATTGATAACTAATGCATACTATGAACTTACCCTCTTTTTTGGCATATTTGATGATATGTTATATAACTAGAAAAATAACTCACCCCTTTTCCATATTCTTTCCACTTGCCTTAGTTTTGAACTTAAAACTTAGTTTTAAACTCTTACCAATTGAGACAACTTCTTGGAATTATATCCCATGAATTTACTAAATGACTAAAGGTTTGAGGATGCTTTTCCTCTTTTTGGCATCTTCTGATAAGCATAGTCCCCCAGTTTTGTTTTTTTTTTCTTTTTCTTTTTCTTATTTATTTATTATTTATTATTTATTTTCATTTAGCAGCACCCCAAAATGTGTTTTTGAATCATTTTCAAATGCTCATGGACATCCCATGGCTTCTAGTCCAATTTGAATATTCTGCTAGATTAGAATCTAATATGCAACTATAGGTCATCTGGATTATATAGTGACTCTTTGGAAGTTGTTGATTGGGACTTGAAACATTCTGTCGTTGATGAAATCCGACTAGAAAATGTTGTAACAGAAAGCCTTTTGAAGCCGGTCAAGGTCAGTCTCTAAAGTTGGTTTTAATTCACCTTGCAGTGATACTTGTATTTGTACGGGGTGGAATTCTTTAGTTCTCAGAGCCTAGTTTGTTTGTTTGTTTGTTTGTTTGTTTTTTTTTTTTTTTTTTTTTTTTTTTTTTTTTCTCAAATGGAAAACCGAATGTCTGTATACTACTAGGGATCTTGCCCATACATAGCGTTAAGCAAAATTCGTGCAGGTTGGGTGCCTAAAGTAATCATCATCCACCTAACAGCTAATACAAGTTGGGTTTTTGTATTTGTACTGGGTGGAATTCTTTAGTTCTCTCAATTTTCCCTTTAGTTGCTTGAGAGAGTGGGCAAATCCTGATATTTCATATGCACTCACCTAACATTGTAAATGCTTATTAATTTTGAGCTAACACATTGGTCAAACAGCCAACAAATGGATTTAAAGCAGTGTCTTTCAGGGTAGGGGACAAAATTCACATATCCTGATATCAACAAGTGATCTAACAAAACTCGTTCTGAAATGGAATGCTACCTGGGGATCAAAATTTGTTTTTGGTCTGATGGGTGGAAATGCAAGGATCAATTGCAGAATCATGTCGTTATTGAGGGTGAGGACTGTGGAGAAGAGGACAATCATTGTTGGCCTAAAATCTGATTACTGCAGCAGACAAATGCTGCTCCAGGTGCTGAGTATGGTGGTCAGGCCTGGAGATGATGTGCTCGCTGTTCATGTCCAAGAAATGGATGATGAGTTTGACCCGAATACCTTTCATATCCACGAAGATCTCTGCAAGTCCAAGCAGGTAGAGATTCTTTTCTCTTCTTTTATTTTTCTTCAGTTGAGTGAAATGAAGAAAGCATCAATCTATTAGTTTGCTTTACTCATTATCATAGTTTAGCCATGTAGGTAGATCTTCTTGTTAAAGTTTGTACTGGAGACTCTTATATCTCAGGATTATCAAATCAAGTAAGAGTAAATCATGCAACAATCCTTGCAATTGGATGCAACCATTCAGGGTATTGAAGTCATTCACTTCCTCTCTCTAATCTCTCTTTTCTCTATGTCAATGCATTATTCAAATGGTTATCATTTTATATGTAGGCTAAAGGGTTCAGTTATAAGCAGCTGCCTGAAGGAGTTACCTCCTACCTGCACTCTTCTGGTAATGGACAATGCTGGAAAGATCCTATTCCAGAGACAGGGAACTTCACAACAAGGCTGTGCTGGTGCACATCTTCTGGTTTCTTTGTCATCTTCCTCCAAATGCAGTAGGATAGATCAATCAGTGAACCCCCGTCATTTGCACAAGTCTTTCACTATACCATCTTTCTCATCATCACCATCTGCTTCTAGAATTGATACCCGAGGACATTGCATTCTCAAGAAGCCATTGCAGGTTCCAGAGCATCAGTTTAAAAAATCCTTAACCATGCCATCAACATCATCATCACCATCACAATCAACACAGCAGAAGCAGGAAACTGTGCATGTTCAGGTTCAAGACTTCTGTACAAGGAAACTGTTCCAGAGAATAGCACTCCTAGAAGCAGAAAAATCCACCAGGCATTTCACATTGCAGGAGCTCAGTTCTGCTACTAACAATTTCAACCCTGTAATGGTGATTGGAGAAGGAGGTCATAGTGTGGTTTATAGAGCCAACCTTGAGGATAGTCGGAAAGCGGCTGTGAAAGTCCTCAAACCTACACATTACTCCATGGAGGATCTTGTCCAAGAAGTAGAGATGTTATCCAGTTTCAAGCATGATAACATAGTTAAGATAATAGGGTTCTGTGCCAACAAGGAATTCCTTGCCATTGTTTATAATCTGCTGAAGGGAAACTTGGAACAACATTTGAAACAGCTGAACTGGACTGAGAGGATGAGTGTAGCAATTGGTGTAGCAAAGGCACTTGAGTACCTTCATCATGTTCGTGACCCTCCCATCATTCACAGAGATGTGAAGCCATCTAACATCCTCCTTTCCGATGATTGCCATCCTCAAGTAAGTTTTATGCCAGTTTATGCAACTTTATATTACTTTTCATTCCCAGAAGTAATGGTGGATTTCAATTTTTAGCTCTCAGATTTTGAAGCAGCTATATTGCATCCTCATTCTTCTCAAGTTTCAGCAAACAAAAAGCCAGTTAACATTGTTGGGACCTTAGGATACGTGGCACCAGAATATATGATGTATGGAAAGGTTGATGAAAAGATAGATGTCTACTCCTATGGGGTACTGCTTTTGCAACTTATCACTGGAAAGGAAGTTGTTCAAAGAAAACAGACTAATCATGAACACTTGGTGCTTTGGGTAAGTCAGCTCACAATATTAAGTTCACCTGATTCAAGTTTATAGATTAAACATTTTTGCTTAACTGACTTGCAGGCAAGGTCTTTACTCTGCTATGGCCTGCTCAATCGTCTTGTTGATCCTTACTTGGGAAAAAATTACAAGAAGGAAGAGATGGAGATTATGATATTCATAGCACGCCTATGCCTTTTGCATTCATCTTCAAGAAGGCCAACAATGAAAACGGTAAAATACTTTTACTTCGAATAGGTTAAAAATCCTGTGTTTTTTTAGTCACTGTCATGGCCTCCTTCACAGATACTCAGGTTTTTTGAGGATTCAGAGTGCTGGGTAAAGATGCAGAGGGAGAAAGATCAACTTCAAAATGGGTTATACTCTAAAGGTGAAAAGGAATTGTGGAGACAATATCAGTCAGCATGTAATGGAACTGGAACTGCAAATATGGATGATATCAAGGTAAGGGAAGACAGTTGAATCCATGCTTTGTAAATGCATTTATCAGAAGAAGTTGCTTTCAGGTTTCTTATCATCACCATAGCTTCATAGATATGGAAAAACTGAGATGAATTATTTCTTGATCCATTTCATTGCTTCATTTCTAATTTAGATACTTTTGCATTGGGTACAGCAATTAATCATATAACTAAGCTTGAGCCAATTGGGCAAAGTTAACAGGGGATACAAATCTCTGATCTCCACTGCAGAGACTTTGAAGCAGCTTGTGTTGGATGGAACATATCCCAGAACAAGTATTCATGGCAATTTGAGCAAAGATTTGCTTTCAGATCACAGATAGATTCTGCATTGAACTTCCCAGCTCCACAACATGCACTTTTGATATCCTTAATTTCTGGGAATTGAAAACGCAGGTTTGAAGATAATTAGTCTAATGCACATCATAAAACACCACAGTGCATAACTTTTATGTGTTTTGGGGTGACAAGCTTGCTCAATGGTAGAGGGTTCTCGATAAGATTCATTGTCATCTCATACGTGTTTCCAAGGGAGTACTTGATATCCTTGAATTCGTAACTAAGCCTGAATAATTCGTATTGGATTGTTGAATGGAAAGTTCTAGCAAACTGATTCAAGTCCTTCAAACAGTCCCCTGTGGTATTATAAATTCTTTGCGATGGACAGCATCCTATTGGTGCAACACTTGCAATGCCAAACTTTCTTGCTTCAAGAGCTAGAAATCTCTGCCATTTAAATCCATCATTAGGATTAAGTGAAACACAGTTAATCCGGAACAGAAGCCTGCTTTTGAGATGATGAGTATATCTTACTCTCAAGTTTGCTTCATATAAAACTCATAAAGTAGACATGAACTCTTCCATGGGAATAGAACTGTTAGAATTGTAATATCCCAAAATATCATTGCTTCCAGTGCTGATGAAGAGTAAGGATTTAGAGAAAAAATTTCCTGTTTCTTCGCAGCCTTTAATGCCCTCAGATCATTGTAGACCTTGATTAATTAGTTAATCTGTTCTCCTGTGTTGATAACATTCTTGTTGATTTTTGCAACATCATGTGTGTTTTGATCTTTACCAGACTTGATTGGTGGTTTCTAAGAGATAAAAAGAATAAAGAAATTGTTTAGTATCATGATTTATCTTTTTCCTTTATCTTCTATGAGGAGAAAGAGGCCTTAATTACCATTGTTTCTCCGGTTTGGTCAAGAAGGCGGGACCCTGCTGAAGCAAAGTTTATGCCTCTGAAGCTTCGTTTCCTGATGGCAGATATGTAACATTCAATGAAAGAGAAGGTAGTGGACTCCTCTTAAATCCCATTAGCTTCTCTGATGGATAAAGAAACAATCTGAAAACACGAAGGTTAAAGCAATGAAGCAATTGAAAACAGTGGAACAGATTTAAAATATAACAAAACCGACACAGAAAATCAGCAGTATTGAGGCCATTGCTAAACCTGCCTGGTGCTCTTGCTTAAGGAAAATCGATTCCATTGTGAGGTGCTGGAAACAGAAAAGAAGTATTTGAAGGAAGTTTATTGCTTTCTTATCTTCATTGTACATACAAAGATATAGATCTATACAATAGAATATTTCTAGATATAAAATCAATTAATTTAAATATATATAATCAATTACAACATAAATATAATATTATAACATAAATGTTAATATTGTAACATAAATGCTATATTTTAACATCCTCTCGCAAACTCAAGGTGGTAATGACGAAAACAACTTGAGTTTGGAAAAAATAGTTTGAAAGCATCTAGGGAAGTGAGCCTTGGTGAACAAATCTATAAGTTGAATAGCAAAACTAATGAAAATCAAATAAACAGTTCCTTTGTAATATGGTGATAGATAAATTGACAATCGATCTTGATATGCTTTGTGTGTTCATATAAGACATCATTGTAAGCAATTTGTAAAGCAATTTGTAAAGCACTTTGATTATCACAATATAAATTAATAAAAGAAAGCTAAGGAATACCCATATTTTTAAGAAGCCACTGTAATGAAAGAAGTTTTGATGTGGTAATACCAAGAGCTCTATACTCAACTTCAAAATTAAAGCAAGATGAAATAGTTTGTTTCTTACTCCACCAACAAATAAGAGAATTACCAAGGAAAAAACAATAACTAATGGTAGATTTGTGATTAGAAAGATAACCAACTCAATTGACATCAAAGTAAGCATGAAGCATAAGAGAGGAGTTAGTAGAAAAATGGAGCCCATGAAATAATGTTCTCTTAACATAGCGAATAATACAAAGTACTACTGTATAATGAGTGGAGCAAGGAGCACCCATATATTGATTACCAATGTGAACTACATATGTTATATCAGGGCATGTCATGGTAAAATAAACCAAACTACCAACCAATTGCCTATAGCAAGTAGGATCAAAAAAATGGAGAGCTATCTATAGATGTATGTTTAACATTAGGTTCAAGAGGTGTAGAAACACTCTTACTATCCTTGAGTTTAGCTTTAGAATCAAGATCTAAGACATATTTTACTTGAGAAGGAAGGTAGCCATCATTTGAAGAAGTAATTTCAAACCCCAAAAAATAGCTTAAAACACCAAGATCTTTCATCTCAAATTTCTAACCGAAAGATCATTTTAGCTCATCAATACCTGTGATATCATCTCCAATAATAATCGTGTTATCAACATAAAGAAGTAAAAGAACTATACCTTAAGCAATCTTATGAATGAACGAAGCTATATCATGTGGAGTAAAAGTAAAACCAAACTTACTCATAATAACACTAAACTTTGCATACCAGAATCAAGATACCAAGATTTGGTACCTAAAGCAGCAAATAAGGCAATATAAGTATTAAAAAAAAATTAATATCACATATTTTAGAGATTCAAGGTTGATATTAGGTTAACCTATAATTTCATTAAGTCGGATGAATTACAGTTCTTTTAAACTCACCATAAAATTAGTAAAATTCATAATACTGAAAAAATAACTCTAAAAATACAACGAAATAGTTGCCAAGATAAAAATAATAATTTAACAAATTACCTCTAAAAGGTCTTAAGAATTAAGAATAAATAATCCAATCTATAGGAGAAGAGATCTCAACGATAGATGCGAAATAGATTTGAAAATCCAACTCAAAAACCAAACAAAGATGATAAAAGAGAAAAACCATTAGTTTATAACTCTAATACCATGTTGGAAATAGAATAAAAAAAGAAATATTTGAAAAAATGTTTATTGCTTTCTTGTCGTCATTGTATATATAATGATCCTCTATATAGATCTATACAATAAAATATTTTTAAATATAAAACTAATTAGTTTAAATGTATATAATTAATTCAAATGTGAACATAATATTATAACATAAATGTTAATATTATAAAACAAATGCTGATATTCGAACATAAGGAAAGTTGCCTTTGAATCAAGGGCGGAGCTACCATAGGACAAGGGGGGCAGCTGCCCCCCTAAGCTTTTGAAAAGTGTTTAATCTAGTACATTAATTTTTTATTAGTACAAAATTTGTTTTTGATATTTGAATTATAAGGACATTTTTGAATTTAAAGAAAATATTTAGAAGTTATGTAAAGGGACTATTTCTTTCTTTATAATCAATTCTTAAGACAAATAATTTTATTTGGATACGAAAAAAGATTTTATATTAGTTGTCATTTTTTTGTATAATTTAAATTCTATCAATTCAATAATTAGATTTGATATTCTAATTGAAAGTTCATTAATATCTGAATACATATAAAAAAAGAAATTATATTTTCTGTGAGATTAATATTTATTTACCAGATTTGCAAAGATATAAGGTAAAAAATACTTCAAAATTAAGATGTTGTAATAAAGTATCACAAAAAGAAAAAAAAAACTAATATATCCTTCATTCTTATCCTAAAAATATACTAATTTAGTTTATTTATTTTAATTAGAGTTTATTTAAATAACATAATTTTAAAATGTTTTTTTCTTGATCCAACTTATTAACATTTTTCTCATTTTTTTATATTATTTGTTTAAGAGTATTAAATCCTATTTATTTAAAAATAATTAAATATATCTAAGTAATTAATAGTTTGGCATATATATTACAAGTAGTATATTTACTCATAAAGTTAGTGATTAATATAAAGTTTAGTATAATTTTTTTTGTATGTAAAAGTTATGGAGCAAACTCAAGACCTATAATAATAGTATGTTTGAGGGGAATGGAAAAGAAGGGAAAAAATTCCTTTTACTTTGTTGTTTTTTTTTTTTTAATTTAGTTATTTATTCAAATGAGGGAAAGGCAGAAATAAGAATATACATAACTCTACTAATAAATTATATAACTGATAATTAAAAATTGATATAAATTATATTGATATAAACTTATTATAACTCAAAAAATTTTATAATTTTGCCCCCCTCACCCAAAGTCAGGGACGGAGCCAACGCAGGACACGGGGGGGCAGCTGCCCCCCCTGAGGTTTTGAAAATTTTCAAATATGGTACATTAATTTTTATTTTTTACAAAATTTTGTTTTTAGAGGTTTTAAACTATTGGGACCATTTCAAATACATATAAAAAAAATTAGGATTTAGGTAAAGGAATTGTTTCTCTCCTTATTATTAATTTTTAAGATATGATAATTTGGTCTAGGTAAGAAAAAATATTAAAAAATAGTTAAAATCTAATTAATTACATTAATATAACTTCTATAAGTGTTTACATTAGTTATATATAATTTTTTTTGTGCAATTTATATACTATGAAAATAATGTTAAATTTATTCTATTTATATAAATCATACATTTTGAATTTAAAGTTGTTTTGATATAAGCAGCTATTTAAAAAAATAAACTATATTCTTATACTTGTTTTTAGGGATTTTAAAGTATATATCATTCAAAAAAAACTAAATATATCTAATTTTCTTGATAAACTAAACATATATAATTAATTCAAAGTTTTATATGTATAAATAAATGATATATTCATAAAATAAGTGATCAATATAAAAATTAATTTAAATTATATTAATGTGAACTAATACATAACTCAAAAAAAATGTTAACCTTTCCCCTTGCCCCCTCTAACTTTAATTTCTGGCTCCGTCCATGCCCAAAGGTCTGGCTCCATCCGGCTTTGAATTTACTTTGATTTAAGAAATTGTTGGTTCCCACATCTGCTGTGGAATCTCCAAGTATGAAAATTGCTAGAACCTCTGCATCTGCATGAAAAACAGCAGTAACCCAGAACAGTACCAGGAAAACCAGTCTCATTACCATAAGGGATGAGAAATCCGCTTCCTCGTTGTACTTCCCCGTTGTACTATATTCAACGTTTCTTCTGTTGAACAAGGATTTATATGCAAAACACTTGCAAAAAAGTACAACAAAATGCCGGTAATGCAACCTTTTTAACTCATAATAATGTAATTCAGACGACTGATTATCTTCCAAGATTAATTCTTCCATCATATAATTAAAAAGCCGGATTGTGCAGGACCAATGTTAAGCGTACTATGTTCAGTCTTTTAGCGTCAAGCTAGTGTTCTGGCAACATTGAAAAAGATACATAATATATATCTCCAATAAAACAAGGAAGCAAGTCTGATGTGTCTGTCCGTACTCAGGGAGCTACATTGAGTAAAAAATTTTACCATAGACCACTTGAACATATACAATGTTTATTCATCACTAAAAGGTCGGAGGACAAAATCCAAATGGGGAATATAACATCGAGTTTCATGCATTTATTGAATTGTTATGAAGATATAACAAAGAATGTGTAGTTACAAAGAAATTAAACTCTGTATGAGAACAAATTGTGGAACCCAAAATCAAGGGTATACAAATTTTAGAAGAAATTTGGTCTTTGTGAGTAGTTATGTGCTTCTACCAGCAGCTCTGCCACACAGCAGGACATTCCTTGGAGGGGGATACTCATCCCTGGTTGAGTTTGAGGGTGTATAAACTCTGAGGTAAAATTGTTGCCCAAGATATTGCCTTGCCCAAAACTCAGATCTGATATTCCACATTCCGACATTATCCAATGACATATAGATAGCTGTCCATGACTTGGGGTATACCTGCATGGCACAAATAAGCAGCTTCAGCTTCTAATCTTCTGAAAATCAGAAGTTCTTAACTTGAGCTTCTACAGTAAAGTTTATCAATGAAAAATCAAATGTAGCATTCTAACCTGTGTAGTGCAGCGTGAAATAGCATCTCTTAGATTGTATTGATTCCGACTCTCTGGAGTCCATTGACCTCCATCCATTCTGCCAGGCCAAATAAGGGTCATCGTCAATTTACAGAATGAATATGATTGAACATTCCAATTAGCAAATTTTTAAGTTGGTTTCTTAGTTCTTACCCCACCACCCAGAAGTTGTATCCATCAATGTGCCAGCTCTGGATAATATTTTCACGGTTCTCAAATATGATTTCCACGAAGGCTCTATAGTCAGCACCCATGACAGATGTGTCAAGATACATTTTTGCACCAGTTGGGCTATCTGAGATGCTGCCAACCCTAAAAACTCCATCAATCTTGAAGTAGTCTGCAAGCTTGAGTGGTGTATCAGCGGGCACAAATGACACACTGTTGACTGCATATCTTTGCTTGCCATTGACCTGATCAGCTGAGCTCACTAGCTTGATTGTTCTTGTAATGTTAATCAGACCATAGTGGTATGACCCCTGTGGATTTGGCCTTGGTCCACTTGCTGTCAGATTAGTCCTGAAATGCAGCAGAAATGAAACTGTTAAGATTATACTGAACAGATTGTGGAAACATGGAGAAATTTCAGTTTGGATCTAAGTTGTTACCTGATTGATCTGGCTTGCTTAAGAGAGAAATCAATTTCTGTGGTTGGTCCACCGGGAATGGGACCTGACACAGCTTTGCCGGAGTTGCTGTAGTGGAGGACGCCAGTGGTGGTGAGGATCTTGGAGGTGAAACGGGTAGACACTGCAATGTAGATATCCTGAGCAGTCTGGTCCATGGTAACAAGGACAGAGTAGGATTGACCCACATGGACATCGAGGGACTCATATGTAGTCTGGACTGTGTGAGTCCCCTCCACCTCAACCAGCTTCATTGTGTGACCTTGGATGCGGAAATTCAGAGTATTCTGGAGACCAACATTTGATATCCTGAACCGGTAAGTTTTTCCTGCAACATATACAAATTTTCTTATCATTGTACATTATTACACAGTAGAACCAAAATACCTTCAAATTCAAATGTAACAGGAATTGAATATCTACCTTGTTCAACAGTGAAATAAGTACCATTTGATCCTTTTCCATTGATCAGAATGCCATCTGGGAAAGGAAGCTTATGACCACGATCTAGAACAGCCTTCAATACCTGCAATCAACGTAGTTTAGGCCATTATGATCTCATGTGGGGGTTTTCAGACCGTATAACTTGGTCAAGAACATTGATCATCACAAACTTGATTTACCTTGTGATCAATCTTGTACCAATCTCCAATAAGAACAGTGAAATCACCGGCGGGGTCAGCGAAGGGGACAGGAATGAGGGGCCTACTGAGGACCCTGATGCCACCAAAGCCACCGGCAGCCTTGTGGAAAGCCAGAGATGGGAAGTAAAAGTAGCTCCCTATCTGATCTTTCATTTGTAAAATATAAGTGAAGTTCTTCCCTGGAGGGATTGGACACGTTGTTCCATAAACACCATCTTCATATGAATTCTTCCTCTGCTGAACTCCATTCCTGTTTTTACATTCCCAAATCAGATACCAAACCCATAAGTGAAAATCATACTGTATTATGTTTTTCATGTTTTTTTTTCTAAGCTGTCATGAATGAAACAGTAAGTGATCTTCACATTTTCTCACCATGAAAGTAGAAAAGGCTCTGGTAAGTTGTTATAAACATTGATAATGAGATTGTAATTGGTGACAGAGTAGATATCAGGCCCCGGAAACTGTCCATTGATCAGAATCCCCTGCAAGACAAACAGAACCAGATCAACAATCTCCCTCAGTCTTCACACCAAACCAACCAAAAACACATCCTCAAACCCATTTTCCTGGTAAACAAACAGACACAAACCCACCTGCTGACGAACCCCTAGTGGGTATATATCACCATAGGTCACATTCCATTCAAAGAACCTGTAAGGGTCCTCGGCTGCGACAACAACCGCCATGATCACCAAAACAGCCCATCTGTACCCCAAAATGGACCCCCTGAACATCATTTTTTTGATGCAGAAGAGAAAAAAACAGAAATGGGTTATGAAATTTGAGAGCAGAACTTCAAAGAAATTAAAGAAAGATCTGTTTTTGAGTTGAGTAATGAAGGACTCAACAAGAGACGTATTTAAAGAGAAGTGGAGGGAAAGACACGGGCGAGAGTTTGCAGTGTGGATTGGGCCAATTGGCCAGGTGTAATAATAATGGTTTCAAACCGGCGCTGGACCCACAAATATCCGTGTCGCTCATTAATCAAGTGACACGTGGACAATAATAGTCGACCTAATGACGATCATGCCCTTGGTTGGTGCGCATGATGGGTAGGTGATTCCAGCCTATCACAACCGCGTAATGTTGATTTCTCATGAATGGCTGGACTACGGTGCTCTGCCGTGAATTATGTCGCAACACACGGAATCTACATGTGGCCCTTGATCAAACTTCTGGAGCAGGCCCAACGGTGGATGTTAGTTTTAATCATGGACTTACTAGGATGGACGGCAGTGATGGTGGATGAGTGTACAGGATGGAAAATAAGGAAGGGAGTTGGAAATTTAAAGTCTAAGCTTGAGCTGATTCTGAGACATTCCTTCTTCGATTGTGTGCTGTTAGCTGTTTACAGAATGATAACAGTTAATTTTAAATTGGATTTTTCTGTTTATTTGTTTTTTATACTACATGTATATTTGACTTTCAAAAGATCACAAATAAAAGGCATTAAAATAAACACCATTTCTTTATTTTCTAACGTGACTTAATTAAAAATTGAATAATGATAGTAAAAATAAAAATTTGAGATAAAAATTTAAAATTAATAATGTGATATAAATTATATTATTAAATTAATTGATATATAATATTATAAATTTTTAAAAAAATAAAAAGATTTAATTATTAAATAATATAAAATTTATTTTTTAATATTTTAAATTATGGGACTTTTTCACATTATTAGTCTTAAATTTTTTTCTTAAATTTTGGTTTTATATTTTAGTTCTATTTATTATTATTCTTAAAAATTAATATTTTTTTATGTGAAAAAGTATTTATTAGTTCAATTTTTTAATATTAAAAAATACTTTAAATTTATATTATTTTAATAAATTTTGATGAAATAAAATTAAAATAATATATTTTAAAACAAAAATAAAATTATTTTAATATTTTATTAAAATAATATAATAATTTTAAATTTTTTATTAATATTTTAATGATATGATTGATAAATACTAATATATTTATTTATTTGTATCTTTTTAACCTCTGTGATTGTGGGACTGCACTAAGCATTCTCTTAAATTAATTAAGTAAATTCCTTTTTTCCACAAAGTAAATGATGATTTATTTTATTGAGACTTGACTTTTTGTTTATGGGTACTGCTAAGAGTTTCATTAAAAAAAAGCAAATATATTTTAAATGCAACATAAAAAATAAATTATTCATTTTGTATACTTTTTTAAAGTAGCTCCGAATGCACCAAGCACTTTCATTAGTCGTACAATAAATTTGGTAAGGATTGCATTTTGTATCGATGTTTGGTGAAATATCTTATGCTTTGATATCTAGAAAAAGTTTACCATTTTTATTTTGAAAAGACGCGGTTTTATTACTAAATTGAAGAAAGAGAAAGCGACCCCATCGGAATTCATCATTTAAAATTGACAATACAGGTTGTTTCGAAGGTTAATTAACCATGAAGGCATGAACGTCTACAGCAAGAGTAATAACAGGGACAACGAAATTTTGAAATGAAAATTTGAGATTAATGATATAGTTTATATTGTATTATTAAATTAATTAATGAATATAATATTATGATTTTTAAAAAAATAAAAAAAATTATTAAATAATAAGAGATTTATTTTTTAATATTTTAAATAACATAATTGATATTATATTATTAATTTTATATTTTAATATCAAATTTTAAACCTCTTTATCATTATTCTTATGACAAATATTGTGACTTGCACTAAGTTTTTACCATACCGAATTACCTCGGCTGACATTCAACTATTTTAATTCCTTATTTAGTTACAAACTAATAAGTGATGCAAAAAGTATAAAAACCATAAAAATATAAATATTAAATTGATTAGATACATCGATAATTTTAATTGGTTAAATTAGTTAATAATTAAAAATAAAAAAATTAAACATCGAGTTACAAACACAAAAATACGAAATAGCATATAAAAATAAAAAAAAAACTAATGCATAGATTAGACTATATAATAATAACCATTAGATAAGGAGTAAGTTTCATAATATTGAGTTTTTTTCTCCATTCAAATATATATATATATATATATTTTATAATTTAATATAATTTAAATTATAATTTGAATTATAAAATAAAGGTTTGTAAAATTAATAATACAAAAACAAAACTAAATTTGAAGAAATTAACATTGCAATCTTGTCTATTCCAATTTTAATTTTTATTGTTATTGAATTTTTTATTGCTTTAATATCAAAATCTGCCTTTAAAAAAGTCCAAAAGAATCGCAAAGAATTGCTAAAAGAACTCCTCCAAAACCATCCAAAATCTGGTATTAAATAAGTTTTTATAAATTTTAAGAAATCGCAATTAGAAAAGAAGTAAGACCGGAGAAACTTTTAATTAAAATTGCAAACAATTGGTTAGAATGTCAACACCTTTGGTGTCAACACGTCTGCTTTCAATTTCATCCGTAATGTACTTTTCCAAAGTTATAGCACAAAGTGTCTACAACTACCAAGACGGTGTCGACACCCAATCTATCTCGTATTTTTCGGAATCTTTTTGTAATTTCTTCAATAGTAAAATAGTCCACCTAATCTTTTAGCTTCTACTTTATGACTTTATGATCCTAAAACTTTGAATTCATTTATTTAAGTCCCTGAGTGCAACTTTTCTTCTTGCAATATAAATCCTAAACATTCAAAATATTTTCACTTTAGTCACAAAACTTCTATTATCATACATTATAGTTTTTTTCTGCAAAAAAAAAAAGAAAAAGAAAAAAGAAAATTATGTAAAATTTATAATAAAAAACACATTTTACCCATCTGCATATCCATATCAATAAAATCAAAGCTAAAATAAAAAATTAAAACATATAATATACATCTCATTAACAAGAACATTTATGACTAATTTGCTTAGCTGTCTAGTGGAAAGTAATTGCCCTCTTAGAAATGGGTGTTTGTGTGGAGTATTTAATGAGTTAGAAACCTAAAAGTTAACACATTCTCAAACAGTTTAACCTTTTATAACCCAAGAATAAATGTAAGTTTACTGTTTAATATGGGAAAATGTGCAAATAAAAATGTCTATTTTATTTTTTATTTAAAAGTGTTAATTTCGTTAATTTTTAAATAAAATTATCAATTTTTAATTTTTTTTATTTAAAAATATTAACTTTTAACTTTTTTATTTAAAAATATCAAAATAAAAATGTCTATTTTATTTTTTATTTAAAAGTGTTAATTTCGTTAATTTTTAAATAAAATTATCAATTTTTAATTTTTTTTATTTAAAAAT